ACGTCCATAACTTCCTCAATTCTCAACCGATCTACTCCATCCATACGACGTTGGAAAGCTCTTTTAAAGTCCAACAAATGTTGTTAAATGCTAAAAAAACGCTCAGATGGCTTTATCACCCTCAAAATTCGAGTCAAAGGTCACAAACCTCAAAAACACTTACGAATTTTTTTGAGGCCCTTTCAATTTTTCTAGCGGTTCACCGATTTTTTTATGGGTACCTATTACGAAGATGGACATTCGGTAAAAATTTCATTGAATTCCCATTTAAGGTTCTGAAGTAAAAAAATAAATAGTTGCAAAAGCTACAAAATTTCCCTTTCGATTTTTCGGTCAAAAATTTTTATTTTTAGATCTTCCTCAAAATATGGTTTTCAACGTTTTTGGGGTCGAGAAACACGATTCTGAAGTCGGTTTCTCGATTAAAAAATGTTATCACGTGGTTTACTTACAAAACTCTCTTCTCCCTTAGGTTTGGGGCTGTATTTTCGCAAAACTTGTCTGTCTACAATTTGACTTCAATCGATTCCTGATGTTTTTGCGATGAAAATGAAACCACACATGACATAATTTGGACAATAATTAACGAAATAACATGAAAAGTTTGATTGTGTGATTGAAAAGTAATTTTGTTAAAAATAGTTCGATTTACGCGATGTGAAGAATAAAAGGAAAATCAGTGAGTTTCGAAGCGTTCTATCTTGAAACCTAATAAAAATCGAGTAAACACATTGAGGGTCAACGATTCGTCTTGAAAAGCACTATAGCATGATCCCCTCAAAAATATACATATAGTTCCATTTAAAAAACGAAACTTCACCATCATATCTTTTAAATTAATAATATAACAAATATTTCGTTTACGTCACAATTGTAGAGCCCATCGTATCCTACAATTTACGTATAAACAATTTATTCGTATCATCGATAGTTATTGAAATATGAGTCTGTCACACTTCGGCAAGGATACCCTGTATATTATCGAAATTATCAGATACACTTTAGTACAGCATCGTGTCCCTCGGATTGTCGCTGGTACGATCCCAGGGAGGAGACATTTCATCACTATTTCTTTGACTAAAACTACAATAAAAATAGCATGTTGAAAACCGTGTGAATGTATAGTTTTTCTACGGATTCCAAAGCAAAACGTAATCGTAAATTTCGCATGTTTAAGCATACACACATTGTATCCCGGATGCAATGCAATGTTTTTTTCGAGAATGGAACAATGCATTAGTAAAAGTTACAAATTTTGTTCCCTTAAAAGGCGCGCAAGCTGCCGTGAATTTCAGTAGATTTCTGTTGTTTGTATACGTTCCATTGTTTGGCTGCGCGGGTGTTCATTACATTCGCGATATCCACACCGATTGGGCGCTTTCGTGCAGGTAACAAACGCTCCACCTGTTTGGAATTCGCGTTTATTACGTAAAAATATGAACGCGTATAAAAATACCGACATTAGGTGAACAAAAATTCTATTTTAGTCATTCTTTAATTTAAATAACAGGTTCGTATCCCTCGGTATATAGATAATAAATCCAGTTGGATTACAATAATACTAACGGATCGATGACAAAGATTAGGCGTCGACACGTGCGTTCAGAGGGAGGAACTTATTTTTCCCTGATTTTATCCCGAGTCTCGTCCGAGATCCACCGTCCAAAATGTATTCCCGGAAGATAAGAACCTTACAGGGGAAATATTTCTTCCGTCGCTTTCGTCTTAGGAAGAAATAAGACGGCCCGATGGATTTCCTTCCCCCAGTACCAGCTCGCGTTAAGGGTGGATCGAAGCGGAGCACGAAACAGGCGGAAACTTCAACGTCAAGATACGGTTTCTTCTTCTACGTGGAAACGTCCAATGTTGAGCTTGAAAAATTTTTGCTGCAGGCTTGAAACGCTTGGTACAAAGATATTTGCGTTATACTTCGTTTAATGCACAACTAGCTGAACATTTTTATTGTATCATTTCGCGTTTGGAAAATTTTTACTACAGGCTTGAAACGCTTGGTACAAAGATATTTGCGTTACACTTCGTTTAATGCACAACTGGCTGAACATTTCCATTATATCGTCTTGCGTTACATAAAATCGAGCAATTTTTGATAAGGCGAAACTAGAAGTGAAGCAAACGGCGATGAATTTATATCCGTTCGACTAGTTTTCAGCCTAAGCGTTGCAAAGACGCGAAGAACACCCTGAACTTTATTATTTTTTTTCTCGGTTACTATTCCAGATATTTAAATTCTGCAAAAACGAAAATATCGGTACTTATAAACTGCATCTCGTGTATCTTTTTTCAGAGTATTTTTTTAATTATCAAGGGTACCAAAAAAATCAGGGATGATGATTGGTTATTTAGCTGACGAATGTAAAAGTTTCAGAACGGTCGGAGTCCTGGAACATGGTTAAATAATTAAAAAGAAACAAAAATCCGATGCGTTGCGCTCCTTGCAATGGGCTGAAGGAGAATGAGATAATGGTCAGACACACTACGCGTATCGTTACAGCTATGCAACCAGACAGGAAGGCAACCAGTTTCAACAATTTTGTAATTGATGTCATAAAATTTTCCTTGAAAGTATTCCGTTTATTATTTCTTAAT